ACTTGCATCTTAACGTGAAATAATTTAGATTTTCTATTTTTTTTGATTTTTAAATATTTTTCTTTATTTTCTTTTCTTTTTATTTTTTCACATTTGCAACATTGAATTTTAATAAAATTGATTGGAAAAGTGGAATGTGGTTCATCATTGTACTATATTTTACCTTTTTTTCTTTATCTTTTCAAATATTTTCCAAAGTTACATTAACTTTTCTGATGTACAAAAGAGAAAGAAAGGGAAATAGATAGTTCGACAGACAATGTAAAAGGGAGAAAGAGATGGTGAATGAGTGAGTAAAAGAGAGTGGAAGATAGGGAATGACAGAAGTGAGAGAGTAAAGGCGAGGAAGGCAGAGGAACAGAGAGAGAAAGAGAGAGAGAGAGAGAGAGAGAGAGAGAGAGACGAATTATCGTATATTTCTGTGTTAAATCAAAGTTTTCCAAGATGCACTATAGATACATCATAGTAGAGAGAAAAAAATATCGAATTTCTTAGCGAGTAAGCACTCCGAAGGCAAGTGTTTGCATAGATTAAATATGAATTTTTTGCTGTGAAGGTAAAAAAGAGATGGTAAAAGAGAAAAGAGGAAAAGAGCGGGTCTGCGAGTGAACGAGGAGTCGAACTCCGGAGCGAGCGGGGACGCGAGCGAGCGAGAGAGAGCGAGAGAGAGAGAGAGAGAGAGAGAGAGAGTCAGAGCGGATAGACTCGTTGATTGGAAATGAGAGTTGCGGAGGGTCTGTCTCCCTCCTCTTTGTACTCCCAGCAGCGCAGCACCGAATGAGTGTTGGCAGAGTGCTCCTGATCGATTACTCGTCATCCGATGTCCCAAGTACCCCCCGCTATATCCCTCACCGAACCCCCTCCGCCCCTTGTCCACTCACAAAGTAAACGCACATTTTTGTGCTTCCATCACGCTTCAACACGTCTCGACCGATTCCGCTCCAGTCCGGCCTCGGGATTTATCTCGGGCTCGCCTCGTTCATTCGCTGTCCCTGGATGCGTGCCCCGTTCGTTTACTCGACTATCTAACGCGCCTTATCGTCGCTGCACTGCTTCAGCATATCAAGACACGCACACAGGCTCGCGTCCCCTTTATTCTTTGCGCGTCAAGCCGCTCAGCCGCGAAGTCAAACGCGATCGAGGGCGACTGGGCCGAGGAGGCGACTAGCAGGACTTCCCCGTCCCGGAACTCCAATCACATATTTTGTTATGCGAATTTGTTGGTAGGAGCGTGGCTGTCCAAGATTGTCACGAGCAGACCGGAGACGAGAATCCGAGACAAGAGTCATACGGCGAATGGATGGCCCACGAGGCAATGAAAATTCGTTGTTCTCCCTCTTCCACCTGCGACACTGCGTACATAAATTCTCAAGAACAGAGGGAATTCTAAGTACGAGAGATATATTGGAGCCATTTGTTTTGAAAGAGGACAGTGGCTAACAGTGGTTTTTTAATCTTAATTCTAAATTTATTGTCGCTCTTATGCCTAAAATTATTCTTTAATATGTTTTCCATCTGATATGTGCGTTTAGAAACTAGTAAAATCGTTTCGATAAGAGTAATTATATAATAAAATTATTCAAATAAAAGGCAGGTCGCCTAAAGAATTTCTTAGAAAATTTGGATTTTTTCAAGGCTGTTACTTACGATACGCGGATACAAAGGGATGGGGAGCCGACTATATTGTTTTTTAATAATATACGTTAGAATCGATACTTGTGCTGCGTGATTTTACCAAAGTCTTATTGTTGTCTTATATATGTTGTATTATAAAGTCTTATCAACTGCAATGAAAGATTTTTAATTTACGATGCATAAAAGTTCAAATCGGTAGCATTATAACTATAAATTTGATGGATTTAATTATTATTTTTGTTTAGACCAAGTAAAATTTTACTGTATAAAGCTTAAACTTTCAAGCTTATCTTCATACATTAAATTCCGTTGTTATTTCATTCATTATGAAGTTTTATTAAGAAAACTGTTCTAACTACTGACTAATAACTATTGTATTTATAAATTGTTTAGCAAAATTTTATGAATAGTTTAAATTTAATTTATTATGTGTAAGCAAATTAAGTGTTCCAGTCTCATGATGGTATATATATATATATATATATAATATATCCGAGATAAAAATTATTAAAAGATCTCCCCGATTTCTTTTGTATTTGTGGAGAATTATTATTATTACTCTGTAATTTTATTCTATTGTTGGTGAAAGTAAAGAGTACAGCAAAACTTTTTTCTTTTACAAAAAAGACACTCTATAGAGGTGTATATTTTACGGGAAATAGCCACGCTATTGTTTCAATTTATAAAAAATTGTTTAAAAAGCGTTTCAGTTACAAATCGTCGAGTATACCTTTGACAAAATATCCAAAATTCGAGTGTATTGCATGCCTAGTCACTGTCCTCCAAACCACCTGAAAATTCTTGATCTTTGAACTTTGATAAGAGAACAGCCTTTACCCCCACCCCCAATATTATACATACCACTTATATAGGTACTATTGTACATATGCGTACTGGTGTTAGATAAACCACATGCAGCATAAAACGAAGAATACTGGCAGCGGATTACTGCCAATTCTTCATTGTCGCTGGCAACTCGCCACATCTCTGTCTTTCGTCCACTCTCTCGCTCTCTCGCCGACTCTATCTCATTTATACAGGCGTGCACATATACACGGAAACCGATTCGAACGCTTATTCATCCCGTACTCTCCTTCCATCTACCTGGCCCCTCTCATTCCACTTTCGCCGCTTCAACCAGCGGTGCCGTACAGGGTGTGAGGAAAGAATCTTGTCGCCCGAAATTCGTTTTCCTCCAGTGCCTCTAGATCCAGGGCGCCGTGTGAAAAAGTGTCTTGCGTACGAACGATGTCACAGAGGCAAGCGAATTTTGCTCGTCAGAGAGCAAAGGGACGTCGAGCGGCCAACGAATTGTGTCCACAGAGGCGTCAATGAATCCAAAAGTCCCACGCTCAGCTCGCTTTTTCCGCACCTGCCAGCGATCATTTTTCGGGTCGAACGTGTAAAAATTGAGGAATAAAATAAAAAGGAGAAAAATAACGAATTAGAGCGAGATGGAAGGATAGATCAATAGAAAGATAGATGGATAGATGGATAGAGAGAGAGAGAGAGAGAGACAGATGACGACGACGACGACGACGACGACGACGACGACGACGACAAAGTAATTCAATTTTCGGTAATACAGATTTTTTTAGTTCTGTGCGCGTATTAAAGATTCTTTTTTAGAGTTTTATAGAAAGTTTTATACAAACAAGCGGTGCGATACTTCTTACGATAACTAAGTATATAATTTTGAGGACACGACATTACAGATCCTAGCTAAGATATAAGAAATCCTCCCTACTCTCTAACCTGTCGCATCACAAATATGTATCTACTACTTTTAGATCTTCAGGGAATTAATTTCGTCTTTTACCCTCTCTATCTTTATCTACTTTTTATACATTTAATGGTGATGAGTAATATATTAGATATTATATTGAAAAGAATATTATCATCCAACGTGCAAATGACTAAGGCAATGGATTTAATCGTTTTTTGTAAAATCAATAATCCCTATCGATGTCGAAAGCTCATTATGGATTAATTTATATTTGTATATAAAGTTGTATTGATTTTTTTAATCTTTCTAGGATTTATTATTATTTTTAAACATGTTTATGAAATGAATATAAGAATTATAGATGGTCGCAAGACTATGATTACATATCATAAATACATAGAAATTTCTTCTATATCATTCGATCATTTTATGGAAAAAGTTTTCCTATTTACACGATAATTATTGTATAATTAAACTAAAAATTAAACTGTGTCTCTGAATTAACGTAGACGATGAATGTTTCTTTAATACATAATGAATAAAATTTATTTGGTCAATCTTGGTATTTAGAAGAATCTTGATATATTTATAAAAATGTAATTTGGTAGGATTTCGTAAGTGTTATTACTTTCCTCGGACTAAATAATAAAATTACATTATCATATATAAAATATATAAATTTAACGTGTTATAGATTACAAGTAATACTATTTTAATACATATTTTAAACATGACATTTTAATATAATATAGTTTATTTCAATGATAATTTTGAAATTAGCTTTGTTAAAAAATATTTACATTAATGTATATATACGATTCGATATGCAGAGAATTTAAAGATTTTTAAAGCAATTTTTCAGGCTAATTATTTATAATTTTTATTTTACACACAAATATAATCCGCTTTGGTAAAGCAGTGGATAATACGTAAAATTTATGAATTTTATATTTTTTCAAAATATACGTTTTCTATTGAAGTAAAACATGTTTATATATTCTATTTATATAAAATGCTATACAAATAAAATTATTAATTCTTTCGACGATTATACGGTGATTAAATGATTGGATTTTGAAATAATTTAAATTAATAAAAAAATAATTTTTAGATAAGCGCATTTTAAAACATGATTTTATTATTTCTAAATGCTAAAAAAACTTAATTTAATGACTTTTCTGTCAATCGCTTTATATTTCTAGTAGTTAATATTTTTATCTTAAATCAATAGTATTTGAAAATATTTTAAAATAATTGTTTCACTTTATTTACCATATTAATATTTTTCGCAGTATCAATATTTTTTCAACTATGGTCCGAATATTACTATTAGAATATTTTCAAAATGTAAAAAGGCATTTATTTTACATCCTATTGATTTAATACCAAAAAGCAGAAAGAGCATTAAAGAAAATATGCTTTTATTACATTAATTTAATGCTATATATATATATATATATATATATATATAAAATTTTGTTGAATATTAATTATAACATGAAGAAAGCGATTAAGAAACATTAAGACATAGCACAACCTGTAAGTAATGTCAAAGAAATACTTCTTGATAACTCAATGTTTAGAGCATTATTATTGCGTTTGTTCTTAAGTCCAATGCATATTGAGAGGAAGAACTTACCGATCAAGAGGATCAGTGGCAGCAGGGAACTCGGATCCATCGTCTCGTCTCTCGTCTAATTGAGGACGCGGCACTGCAAGCTCCCGAAGCCGGCTCAGTGCATTCTCGAAACTTCGGACCCTGAAATTGCCAATAACACAAAAACGAACGCATTAGATAATGAAATAGAGAGAAAAAGCGAAGCGAGATAAGGGAGAAAAATGGCAGTGGGTTATCCAGGAATAAAGTGGGTGTGGGTCGGCTTACTGATAAAAAAATAGAGTAGCGCCATTTTTTCAGGCTTTTTGCTTTGTATTTTATTGTGAATTTTTGAAAAAAAAGCAAGGGAATCGCAAAGCCTTATTCTTGTCTTGTTTTCCAGCAACTAATCCACAAACAGGGAAGTTTATTTATATCTACACAAGCAATATCTCCGATAATATTATGATTTTTTCTCGTAATTTGTCTGTATTTGTGTCTTAAATTAAGACTAGATTGATTTACAGTAAAATTTTATATAAAAATTACTCTGTCAAAAGTCATATATATGAGACTAATAAAAGTAGGGCTTTTTTATATTATTCAATTTTTTTCCGTCATTTGTTTTTTAATCCCAAATTCATGTTATAGTTTAAGTAAGATCATCAAATAAATTTGAGTCGATACACAAAAAGAAACTAATTGCTACAAATTTGTTATCAAGACTACGAATCCTTGAAAAATAGCTATTCGAATGAGAGCTGAATTTGTAAGATTAACTTGTTACTATTTCTATATTTCATTATTTTTAATCGTTGACTAATTAATTACCTTAACAAATGTATGTATGGTGATATATTTAGTATAATATTATGAAATTTTTAATGATTCATAAGTATTTTAGTTTTTCATTATGTCATCAAAACTAATTTGCTATGGTTCTATTGTTTTCTCATTCCTCATAAAAGATAATTTATTTATATGTTTTCTTAACTGAAAATGAAGTCAAAACATAATACACAAATGTTAATCAAAGGATATCATAATAATTATAATATAGCATACCATTAGAGGTACTTTGTTATTTATTAATATTAGTTATAATTGAATAATATTAGATAGTATATTTATATTATCAGAAGTATGTATGAAAGGATAAATATGACATTCCAAAAGATAATACTGGATATTAATAATATATAAGTGATTAACATGTCCACTGATTAATTACATACATACTCGAATATGATAAATATTATTATAAGTAAGACAAATATTATATGATAATAATAATCAAATTGTAATAATTTGAAGAAATTCTTAATATATTAAAAATACTTTTTATAAAAAATTGTTTCTTTTTATTACAAATTACATATTCTAATTCTAAATAATATTATACAAATATATAATATATTAAATGATTTAGAACCCTTCATAATAGACTAGAGCCGTAAAGTAATCAACGATCTTTAAATTTTCACTCATTATCCACTTGATATTTGGCACTTTTAATAATTACTTTGACTATGATGAAAACACATATTTTGCATAATCGAACTTGTAAACATAATTTACTTTTGTCACACCAAAATGCTATTTATAGCTGTACACACACACACACACACACACACACGCGCGCGCGCGCGCAGAGAGAGAGAGAGAGAGAGAGAGAGAGAGAGTATCTTACACTTGATATATCCGGCAGAATATAGTTTCATATTTACGTCCCGAGTTCCTTTATTTCGGCAGTCGGAAGTGCAACGGTGGCCATTTTTCATGACATGCACATCCGTTTCCGGTTCACGATCACCGCGATATACAAGCACAAAAATTCAGATCACACTACAGCAAAAATAATCGTTCGCCTCTGCGTTTGCTTTGTATTGTTTGCTTTGTGATGACCGTGTCAAAATTCTACTGACCTTTAACGAAAATAGTTAGCTCTAGGTGTTCGTACAATCTGTGTTCAAAACAAATAAGCTTTACATTACTCGGCATTTGATAATTCTCATATTATAAAAAATTTAAGACATTAAATGCGAGAAAAGGCAAATTAACCTGATATTCAAACATTTTTCTTACTCTACTATTGTCTTTATCGATTTTAACACAAAGCAAGCATTTATGTATTTTCCACTATTAGACAAATATACATTATATTCATCAATAAAATTAAATTGTTGAATGCTTTGTTTCTAGAAATTTTTAAAGGAACTGGTACTATCATCATATTGATTAATAATTAATGAAAATGATAATTAATGAAAATTTTGTATTTGTGAATAGAATATTAATGTATTTCAGTTAAGCTTAATACTCTTTGACACTGATGAATTTTGCAGACTTTTACATATATTTAACGCCATATTATTGTTAATAAGCTTTAGATAAGAAATTTGATGGATATCAGGATTAATAAGCAAATCACATCGGTATTCCGTTTTCTTAGAAATGACATTTTAAAAATATGTCTATGTGCAAAAAGACAATTTTTTGCCAAAGTGAGATATCATTAGTTAATATTGACGTATCATTGATTTTAATTCACCATTTAATTTTCCAATTTTCATAATATTCAAGATGCTTACATTAGATCACAATACAAAAATGCATTGCTAAGTTATTTTAAAACATTAGAAAGTATTATTGTTTGTTAGATAAATAATAGAAATATTGAATAAAATATAATAATTTATCATACTTTTTTATAGACATTGCGCGTATACTATTAATTTCAGAAATTTCATTTAAATTCCAAGAAATATTTCAGGACAATAAGAACGAAATAAATATTTGATACATACGGTATACATAAAACGTCAACAATACTGTCAATACATAAAAAGATATTTATGGAATATTATCATATTCGGAAAGAAAAAATGATTAAAATATATTTTATTTTTCACATAACGCTATTTTGCTTTTGAAAATAAGTAAAAATTTCTTATAAGGAGGGAAGAACATTGGTAGAATGTATTTGAAATTTTCAAACTAACATAAATTTGTTTTCTAAAAAATTCACTTGATTAGTCTGACAGTATTAAAAAAAAAAAAAAAAAAACTCTAAGACAGAACAGACACATTCTTGTCTAAATGATTAAAATTGTCACAATTTTTAATATCTAAACATTTCTTATTTAATTAAAATATTTTTATTCAGATTTTTATATTTTTTAGCATTGATACAGGTATTTTAATCGATATTAATACATTTTACATATATTTGTTTCTATTTTCCATTAAAACTTGTTCATATTTACTATTCTAATACTAATATTATATTTACTGAATAAATATTAAATGTCTAGTATTTTATTACTTATTGCCTATAGAAAATTTATATTTCCCTACATTGTTTTGATTTGGAATACGCTTGTTAAATATAATATCATTAATTGATTTTGAAATTCGTTTGAATCATATAAATAAAAGATAAAACAGAAAATATAGAAAAGAACTACAAATGTTAATTTTGTCTTAATTTCATTCAATAAATATAATAATAAATTCTTTAACAATAATTAAAAAATAGACATTATTCATATAATATATAACTCATATCTATTAGTTATTTATTATTATTTATTTTATTATTATTAATATTTTTTTTTTCTGAAAATCTAATTAAAAAATACAATGATAAGTGGTATACACATAAAATTACATTGACTGATTTTCACTATTGAATTTTAATTAACACGTCTGAAAATAATATATTTGTCAGGTGAGCGAATGAAATCTTCATTTAGTAATTAATGTACCGCCTATATTTGTAGTAATTGATTTTCTAACGTCTGCTAGTCGCTTCTCTGGCAGGACGAGTACATTGTCCTCGCTATGGAAGTAGAAGGAAAATTGGGAAAGGTCAAGTACCTTTCGGCGACGCATAACGCGGAGTCGAATGCAGAGTTATTTTAGGATGGAAAGTGGAACATCTCAAATGGAAAACGTATGAACGTACGTATGCGCAATTTCGATGAGCACCAAGTCGCAAGAAAAAGAAAGGTAAGGAGCTCAACGCCGAGCTCAACATCAAAGAATCTTCAGTTTACATTTACAGCTGATTCGTATGACACAAGGATTCGTAAGAAATGAAGCTTTTGACGCTTCGTTCAAAAGACAAAATAAAACTTATGCGAGAATAAAGTCAGGAAGGACGCGGCTCGCGTCGAAAGTGCTCGGGCATTATCTTTCGGAATTATCTAGCGAACGAATGTAGAGTTTGTTGATAGAATTTCCTTCTATCCCAACTCGTTATTACACAGTATATTTCACGAATGATAAAACATTCATAAATGTTACGCAGTGCTTTTTGTGCTCGCGAGTCCGCGTGCGTGCATTGTTATAAATACTCAAGATTTATAATGGTACAACCAGTTTTCTTACTTTTACCATTATTATGGCTCGTTATGTTCAATCGTAAGCCTGCCTCCGTAGAATTGGATAAGCTCCTTGGAACGAAGCCGACGCATTCCCTTAAAACAAGCTTCATCCATTTTATCGACATAACTTGGATCCTTCGTTTAGGCGCCCATCAATATTATCAGTTTAGAGGAAACAATTTATATTAAAGCCACTCTCTTTTGAATTTAGCGCGTACGAAAAAGCACTATAGCTTATGCTTTAGAAATAGTATTTCGCGTCTAGGTAAGAGCGTGCTCGAAATGGTTTGGGGCTAAGATCATTGAAATCACTTATTAAATTGATAGAGAGCGAAGAGGCCTCTTGAGAGAAAGGCGAGTTATGGGCACGCGAGACCGAACCCCAACGCGAGGCGAGAGCGCTGGAAAAATGGCAGTGGCAGGAGGAAAGAGAAAGAGGAAGACCAGTCGAAAAGTAAGCTCAGTGATGAATCGATATAAAAGTGAGAAGCCGGAAAGAGAGAAATCCGATGAAATGGCGGGAGCGCCGTGTGGCGGTCTGAGAGGGGGAAAACGAAACGAGATGGAAGATATATATATATATATATATATATATATATATATATATATATATAATACGTATATACAAGAGATCGGCCCTCAAATTGGAAAAAAAGGAAAGGTGGAATAATAGCGACATCTTCCTTTCCTCATCGTTTGTTGTTCCTTTTTCCTTTTCAGTCCTTCTCCTTTTTCACTTTTCTCTTTGCTTTTTCTATTTTGCTTTTTGCTTTT